CATATACGGCAGAATTTACTGGTACCAATAGATGCCACGGCGGCTTATCGACTGCAATCCTTCGCTGCATAACACAGATAACGAATATGGCGTATATAGCAAGATCACTGCTCAGTGCAAGGGTCTAATCAATGAAGAGGACAGCTTGAAGAAGGAGATACGATCGATGGGACAAGAGCTCATTGCCGTGGCATGCCCATTTGCCCTTCAGAGTTTTCGTTGTCGGAACCCAGACATGCATCAAGAAGTCAAGGAACCAGTACTTCAAAGAACCAGCTAAATAGCGAATCGGGAGAATTTCTTGCTGCCATGCTTCCCTTCGATCACTCAGTGGCATTGCCACACTGACTTCTAAATTTTCCACTGGGGAATAAAGGCTATAGGCAGCGCTCCCTGAGTCAAGCCACGGCGCAGTGCAATGACTTTCTGAGACTCAGACCTGCCATTTTGTCATCCGAGGGCCCTAAAGACGAAGGTAGGGGCATATTAGAGTAGCTACTTTTTAAAATGAATCAGTAACGTCGTTTTTAGCCATACCAGACCCTGGTAGAGATCAGGTGGGATTTGAACCGAAGCCGTGGAATCTGCTACCCAAACTCGGAGTCTCCCAGTACCCAGGGGAAGGAAGGAAGAACCGGTTGAGTGATACGCGAGAATATTTAAATTGACCCGTAGATGAGTGAGTGGATGAGGATGGGGGGGGGAGGGAAGGTGGGCTGGACCTCGTGTGGACTGTGGGGTAGAGGGAGATGGGGAGTTGCGGAGGCTTTTCCCCCACGCCCTTCAGCTCTCACTCTCTCGCTCATTCACTTGGTACAGGGCATAAATAATTCCCTTATTTGTCGTCCACTTAAACATTCACTTACGCCATTCGTCAGGAGATAACTTCTCTCACTCTCTCTCTCTCTGTGTGCGCCAAGCATGGTTGCCGTGCTCCATTGAAGGCTGCACTCACAGACACACACAAACGGGGAAAACTTGTGTCTCAAAGAGTCACGCAAGCCTGCACTCTTTGGGTGCTCCGCTCAGCACGCGGAGAGAAAACGTCCGCGGCCGTCCTCAATAATTCATTCGGTACAGACTCCCTCTCGCACGCGCGCTCTCTCTCGCGCCGTCTACGAAACGCTGCGAGACAACCATGCAAATATCAATTATTTATGGGTCAGCAGGGATCGTGCCTAAAATTCACCTCTGCTCCCGGGTGTGTGTGTGTGTGTGTGGATGCTTATGCATTTCTCTCCCTCGCGCGCACTCTCCGCTTCCGCTCACTGCCGCTTTTCTAATTAAGAAAACGCATGATTTATTCAGGAACTAAAGCCCAGCCATGTCGATCAGACTGTGTGAGTGTTTGTGTGTGTGTGGACCCTCTCGTCTCCTTATGTTCCCGCCCTCGGAAGACACGACACAATGGAGTGAACTGCGGTGGGGAGGGGGGGACGGTGACGTTTGGCTGCTGGTGTCGGCGGCAGCTGACGCGACCTCTCCGGGCTGACTTCCCGCTTCCCCCTCCGCTCATCCTGTCAGCACAAACATTCACGGACCCTCTTCCGCCTCACGTGAAATTTGCGACCGCTGTTTGTGTGTGTGCGTCCGCGGGCGCGCGTATGCTCTCCAATGCTGCATCATTTATGTCGGTACGACCTCAGCTTGATAGGCCATGCCGAATGAATATTAATATGACTCATTGCGTCCGCTGGGGCATCTAGAAGTGACAGGCAGGGAAGGCCTCAACCAGGACTCTCCTACCGCCCACGCACCACCGGAAGAGGTCATCAACCCCCTCTTCCCCCCCCCCCTCCTGCCCCAGTGGTCCCTAGTCGGGACTAGCTTAATCAGTCAGGGCGACAATGCATGTATTATGAGTATCAGACTGAATGTGTGTGAGCGAGGGTGTGTGGCAGAGAAAACTTAATTAAATCTCAAAATGTCTCCGGTGGGGGGGGGGTGTGGGGGGTTGCTGACAAGATGATTATGATTTTATGCAGCCTATGGTGGTGACGGTACATTAGACTAATCGGGAACCCCGTGTTGATAGTGTCTGTCATGTATTTGCGGAGTCGGGCGGCGCACTCACTACCGTCCCTCTTGGGCAGACGTTATCCTGGTCGGATAGGCCGATCCAGCACCATCACAATTACCTGGGATTGACTTCAGCATTTAAAAACCATTAAACACCGTTTTCAGCGTTCGTCTATATACCTCTTGTAACCTTCTCCTCATACACACGCCAACAACTTTGGATCTTATTTCTCGGGGGGAGGGGAGGGGAACAAACATCCGTAGTTCATATCTGAAAAGGTGAACTCGCTTTATGGTTGTAGAGCTTTGAAACTCGTATCATACATTTTGTTTTCGGAGGCTTTGCCCTCTCTCCCGCTGATGGCATCAGGTTTGAACAAGTCGAATGAGTAAATTGCTCAAAGGGAGTCTCCTCTCGCCTAAACCTTAGGACTCCGCGAAGCCAAACAATCAATGTTCGCAACCATCTCCCCTTGTCAATTAAAACTCCACTTTTGACCTAGGAAGAATTAGGTAACAAACGAGATCTAAAAATCTCAAGCAGCTCACGCGCGGCCCTCGTAGCTCAGGTGGTTAGAACTGGCTGTAATCAATCCTTGCCTTTGCCGAATTCTTCAGAATCGGAACAATGAAGTTATGTAAACCCGTTAAAAAGCATCCATTCAGTTAACGCTCCATCTACCTCGATGGAGACTGGCTGATTACGAAACCGATTAATGCTTAGTTATGCTGACGACTCGTCTGCTAGACATCAAATAATCAGTTCTTGAAAGACGGCGGTCAGTAACCAAATGGAAGACATTCTTGTTAGATCATTCAGCATCACTGCCAATTTCCCTTCCAAATTTTCCTTGTGGAGAATGTTGAGGTTTGGTTCAAATCCCACCTGATCGCTGCCAGCGTCCGGTATGGCTTAAAACGATGTCACTTATTCGTTTTAAAAAGTGGCTGCTCTAAACCGCCCATATCTTCATCCAAATTATTTATGTCCTGTACCAACTGAATGAGCGAGAGAGTGAGAGCTGACGGCGTGGGGAAAAGCCTCCGCAACTCCCCATCTCCCTCTCCCCCACAGTCCACACGAGGTCCAGCCCACCTTCCCCCCACCCCCTCCCCATCTTCATCCACTCACTCATCTACGGGTCAATTTAAATATTCTTGCGTATCACTCAGCCGGTTCTTCCTTCCCTCCCCTGGGTACTGGGAGACTCCGAGTTTGGGTAGCAGGTTTCACGGCTTCGGTTCAAATCCCACCTGATCGCTACCAGGGTCTGGTATGGCAAAAAACGACGTCCCTGATTCATTTTAAAAAGTAGCTACTCTAATGGGTCCCTACCTTCGTCCAGAGGGTCATCGGATGACAAAAATGGCAGGTCTGAGTCTCAGAAAGTCATTGCACTGCGCCGTGGTGCTGCTAAAACCCCTTACTTACCAAGGGAAAATTTCGAAGTGTGGCAATGCTACTGAGTGATACAGGGGAAGTATGGCAGCAAGAAATTCTCCCGATTCGCTATTTAGCTGGTTCTTTGAAGTACTGGTTCCTTGACTTCTTGCCGCATGTCTTGGTTCCCACAACGAAAACTCTGAAGGGCAAATGGGCATGCCACGGCAAATGCAAATGAAACTAATTTCCTCCGTCTCACAGGCGGTTTAGCGCTAAAGTCCAAAGGGGTTGAGGTCAGAGTTGGGTTCAGTGTCAGTATTAATGTAAGGGTTAATGATCAGATGTCAGAAGACTCGGTCATTCAGCAGAATGGCCGCGTGAGGGGGAAATTCCTACAGGGGTATGGGGGGGGGGGTGGGGGTTGGGAAAAATTATGGAGAACTGTCTACTAAATTTTTCAAAGAAGGTTTTGTTCTGCAGAGTTTTTGGTCGTTCCACCGTCGGCAAGATGATATGTGATGACCTGAACCGACCCTAGGGGCCGGTACTGCTGAACAATCTACATTGGTTCCCTATTCTTCACATCTCACACGTAATTCTTTTGTAAGAGGGAAACTCAATTTAAAAAAAGAAGTTCGGCGCCGAAAGCAGTTAGGTAGTAAAAATACTCGACTTAATGGTGGATGGAATGCATACGTCTGCCAGTAAACCAGGGGTGTTGAAACGCTGGCGAATTTGTTAAACAGCACTTGGCATCTTCTTACCCCGCGCATACACATAATCCTTGCTGAGAAAAGTGAGCAGCTAGTAAAAGGCAAATTAATCGACACAGCGGGACTTGGAAGTGCCCCTGGGACATGTTGGGAGTGAGAAAGTAGAGTGAGGCCGATCATGCACCTGTCAAGTGCCTCACTACTGAGAACACGGCGCTCCAAGGGGAGTCACTTTGTGGGTTTTCACACCGACAGATTACCGGCCCTTCCCCGAACAGGCTGGTATGCCTGCTTCTTAATCTAGCCCTTACGGCCACTGCCCTCAGTGAGAAATTTACATGTCTGTTACCTGAGCGCGCACGGTAGTGTGTTTGCGTGACAGGACGGAGACGGACTATTCAGGCTTCTTAGCCACTACGCCATAGCCCATCCCCAGTCGTGCTGACTTTGGATTACCCCTGGCAGGCGGCGAGTATGGGAGGGGAGAGTGAAGCAGGTGCTGCACAAGTCTGGTTCACTATGAAACATTTCAGGCATCCTCGCAGACGACAGTGACCAACCCCAAATAACTTGTCATCCATTCTTCCCGACGTGTGTAGCTTTGCGGCAGGTCTCAGTAGCAGTTATTAAGTACCATGGGGCGTGGCGTCATCGCATTCTCGTAAGATAAAACTTGTTCGCTGTATAGGAACGTCGAAAAAGCAAATGTGTGTCCTCGTTGTTCTGCAGTTCTCATGTGAAAACTCTTTGCGTGCCTCGTATAAACAGACAGTTAGGGCCCCAACGTATGCCCGCTCTCTCATTAAAATTGTAAAAAAACTGCAGACTTGGATGTGAGCACCGTTTCAAGTGTTGCGTTTTCCCCTTTAACCCTTTAGAGACCGATGAACTCAATTGCTGAACTGAGTGTTTTTCCTCAACAGACAGCAGTTTCTGAGAAGGACTGCAACCACCTAAACAAGCTGTTACCTTCGAGCATCAAAGCCACGGGCAGCGATACGGCCGCGACGCCTGTCTTGACTGAAACCTTTAAGGACCAGAGCCGACAGGCAGCCATGCACAACGCCGAACTCATCCGAGATGTCCTTTGCATCCTAAACAGCCTCTGTGGCCCCGGTCTTCTTCCTCCGACCGGCGCAGCACGATCCCTGCCCAACACTAACCCCCTTGGCGAGGCTGCGACTGCCCAGTTGGCCCTCCTGGAGTCCAGCCTATTCGGTGGTCTTAAGAGCGACGCCGGCTCCGCCCTCTTCCAGGGAAAGGTGTCCACATCCAGCGGCTCTCTTCTTGAAAAGGCGGCCAAAGTGAGTCGAACCAGCTCGGACACAGAAGCAAAGCCGCACATAAGCCTGTCACGTAACCACACCGCCTACGAGGCCGAACTCATCTACCCCGAGGCTTTGACCAAGGGTCAGTTCATCTGCCCCAACTGTGGGGAGGACTTCCTCAATCGTGATTCACTGGCCATGCACATGATGGAGAGTGTGCACTCGGAAGCCTGTATCAGCAGTGTCAGCAAGGAGAACCGACAGCAGAGGCGGGCGGCGAATGCGGGCCTGCACTCCAGACTACTGCCCGGTCTGATGGGGTCGATTGGTCCCACCTGTTCCAGACGCTTCTTTCGCCTGCCACCCAATCTGGTTCCCGCAGCCTCTGGACGATCAGGAGACCCGGTCTCGGCTGCGGCCCCTCCTAGCCAGGAGTTCGAGAGGAGTTCGCAGGGCACCGCGGAGCTCCAATCACTGTTTCAGGGCGCGAAGATGAAGGGTACACCGTCACCAGTGGGCCTAGAGACGACAACTCGCGGCTTTCCGATCCTCCAGAAGTCGGAATTACCTGACTGCGAGAAACCCACGCTGTCCACTGGGGCCAAACCCGGGCGCAAACCCCGACGCCTCATTTACCAGCGTGAGACGATCGGCGTTGAGGGCGCGACCACCACTACCGTTGCCCCCCTGGCCCGGAGTAAACCGCTACGGATGGCTGTGAGAGGCACGAGGGAAGTGGAGGCATCTCCACACCCCAGAGCCCAGATCAACTCCACCCGACCGCAGGCGAACGGCGCGCTGACTCGCAGGGAGCAGGAAGAGGAAGAGGGGGAGGAGGAGGAGGAAGATGTAAAGGACGGCATGAGAATTCGGGTTGCCCTGCCAGTACCACCTAAGCGCCCCAACTCCTGTGAACTGGAATGTGGCAGTGAAAGTACCTCTCGACCTGCGCGTGTGAACTCAACGCCTGCAAGATGTGACCTTGAGGAGACGAAGGAGGAGCAACTGAAATTACTGACTTCCGCAACGGATAACACCGCCCCGGGGGCTTGCAAACAACGTTCTGGATGTGCGAAGGTAACCATTTGCCCCCATCTACAGTCAGTGACCGATCTCATGAAATGTTAACCGAGATTCTCAAATGTGTTTTTGATTAAGAAGGATTACATAAGTAGGCCGTATCAGTGACTGTCTTGCGGCGTAATTCGATAGTATTTCAGACGCATCAGGCTGTTGGCTTTTAAATACACCTCTCCTCGACTGCCTGCAAAACCGCACTTGACAAAAATTTGTGGTTAAGTAAAGTGCGTGTGTCCTATCAGTTCCGATATCCTTATTAATTTACTTCGTAGAAAAGCCCTGTGGAAATATTATTTCTCGTACTCGTTTGATAGCAGATCACGTCTCCTTTAAATTTCATACTATAAGAAAGGGCATCTCTTGGTTTTAAATTTTTTTATTTTAAAATAACTTTGAACTAAATCTGCCGTTGCATTTTCGTTTGGGGTTTTAAGTCTTCAAACTCTATACTTTCGATGTACGGAAGAACATGCATCCTTTTATGTCATTAAGGAAATATCACATTGGACTCATAAAATGTAACGGATTTGGTCTATGTTGTGTACTTTATGAGAGAAATTATTAAACAGACAGACGCGATGCCACTCGAATGAGCACTGCAGGGTTTTAAAAACCTCATAATTAGAAACTTTTTAAAGCCAAAAGACATCCTTCCGTCAAGTATAAAAGTTTAACAAGACCGGATTTTTTACCAAATGCGAACAAGAAAGAATATCTTTGTGCAAGTTTTTTCCAAAATATATCCGAATTTATAAGGGTGTCGAAATTAAGTAGAAAAATGCTTACTAAATAAGTAGTCACTTTTTACCGAGTGCAGATTTTGCGGACTGCCGAAAAGAAGTGTATTAAATATCCAGCATCCTAGCATGTCTGATAAATTACGGGACTAAATCGTAAGGCCGTCAATACTACAATCCCACTTAAGTAATCCTTCCTTATCGAAGACGCATTTCACACTCGGTTAACTGACTGTGAGTACGTGCCACTGTTACGCCAAATCATTGGACCGATCATGCAGGTTACAATGAGACCGAAAAATTCAAATATGCTTCCTCAACACAGAACTTACCAGTCCTTGCAATTTAAACACCAGCTGAACCTTTTGACCCTAAGGGTGGGCTCATACCAGACTTGAAGTTAGAGCGAGTTTTCTCGCATCTCTTCCTCCAGCTTCAAGGGGACCGTACGGAGTGCCGTCCGAATTGTCACTGAGCAGGAGAATTTGTTTAGATCTACCACTACTACTAATAATAGTAGTACTACTGAATCTTTTCAAAGCTTTTTCACTCTGCAGTTCAGAAGTCAGTCGCATATGTACAGGTAGCACAGAAGCCTCGCTGAAGCCTGTTCAGCCAATCTGGTCGTGACCTGGCAGTGCTTGAAAAGAACCATCGCATTCCAGAGAAGGAGAGAGGGAACTGTATTTTGGGGAAGATTTTCACATTCAGGTTTTAAATCACTTTTAATGATCAGACAGTCTTTTTTAAGGGCCGCGATTCGCGTTCAACCGAGAGACTTTCATGCCTGCCCCATCCGCGCAAGTTTATCAATACCTCCGGTTAAGTTTCAGCTCAATTATGCAAGAGCTTCTGGGCATTCTCTGAGCGTTACCTGCGTCCCCCAGGTCTGTTTCGACAGGTGTCGGTCCGATGAATCTCCCTCAGCATTGGACAAGAGACTAGCATTCTAGTCTATGAGTAGGGAAGAAGACTGTTCGACGGCTAAACCTATCTAACTTGTCTGAGTTTCCGAACCCACGCAGGAGTCCATCGTCAGGAATAAAAGCTGTAACAGAACAAGCAACAGTCATAGGGGGGGACGTATGAGATCATCAAACGTCAGTGACGCAGGTCTGGAGGTGACTGCGCAGGGCCCTGTATGCTGGCGACAGATCGATACACCGACTGGCTATGTTCTCATCCGACGTCTGGGATTCCGTCAATTCTCGACTTCTTTTGCTTCTGGTGTGAGGGAATATCTTGATGGCTGTCAGGAAGGGCACCTGGGTTGAAGTGGTTGAACCTCCTCCACTGGCACTCGCGAGGACCCAGGTCTTTTGCAACACAGGGCTAGATGTCTAGTACAAAGGCTAGTCGTAACTCTGCTTCAAGTTAACACAACCTGAGAAGAGAACTAGGGTCTGATGGTTCGATAAGGAGGAACCACCCTCTGCTGCCGTAGGTGACAGGGAATAAGCACATCAGCCACCTGCTAGGGAATGGAGCATTATGCACCTTACATCGCAGTGATTAAAAACTGGTGACTGGCGTGTGAACCGGTCTATAGCAGTTCGACTGTCCTCCTGAGACGGATTGTCGGGTCAGGTGCAAAAACAGGGGGGGGGATGTTTTGGTCGTCAGCGATGGAGCAGTCCAAGTTGTCAAAGGAGTGCGAACATAGTCCTACATGTATTTTGTCAATGATGGACGCTGATCGAGGAAATGTTGGGAGTTTGGAAAACGGGACAAGGCCAAAACAACTAGAAGTGAGTTTAGGCTCAGCGATTGGCTTAGCACCAGCCATGTCGCACGGGATCCCTCCCCAGTTGCCAGAGAGGCTCGGACAGGCAATTGGTGCGTGAGAGGAGGAAACGATCGGGCGGCTGACACTGGAGAATCCATCTCACGATAAATCAGCGCTTTCCTAACTTGACACGCTTGAATCTATCATGGCGTGCCAAGAGTCGGAGCCTAAAATGTTGACAATTGACGGGACAACCTGGTGCCTCTCGGTATTGAGAGTCAGACCGCAATGCCCCACATGGCAGTCTCAGGCATGTACTATCAGAGTTGCACAGGTACATTCAGCGGGGACCGGGACCTGTGTGGCATGATTTGATGGGCTGCTTACGCCTAGCAGCCACTGCGCACGCGCCTAATTCCGATCATTTGGAAACTTCCTCGGGGGGGGGGGGGAGGGGGAGTACGCCAGATGCTGTGTAAATCCTGGTGCTGCACTCACTCCGTGGGATACGTGGTGAGCCTCGTCGTTTCCGGCGGTCGAAGGAACGTCGAAAGACGGTTGAAACGAACCGAAAACACAACTTTCACAGATGGGACGATGATCCGAGTCATCGTCATCTATTGTTGCTGCTATCCTCTACACAGCTGAGACTGGGACCTCATCAGAATAATTGCCTCTTCAATTACAGCAAGTTTATCAAGATGGATATCGCCTAGGCAACCAGTATATTCTTAATAAACGTTTAGTGAGTGGGACTTGCATAGCATTTACCTGCCTGACATCCCCTGCCCATTGGCAAGCGGGAGCACAGTATCTGACGGAACCCTCACCTCCTCCTTACCCGCCCGACGTTAGAGCGTTACATTCGCGAGTACACTCTTCCAAATGTCCCTTCATCGTCTCATCCTCATTTGTTTTATAAACACCCAGACGAGGGGACATGGCAGTATCTGCGCCGAAAGGAAACCTCCAATGGAGCAGGTGGGCTGGTCCACCGCGCCAGAGGGCGACCCGACGGGTCAAAAAAGGAGACATTCCCCCGACACCCGGCGGCTTTCATACCAGTCGCTCGTGGATCCGCCAGTGTCTTCGACAGCGGTGGCGGCGACGACGACGACAGCGCACTGGAACTCCGGTCGTCCCACAAGTACGGCTGACAGGCCGAAACCGTTCCCCTACGTCTGCCGCCACTGCCAGGTGGGTTTTGAGGATCAGACCCTCTTCAGCCTGCACATGGGACTGCACACCTCATCGAATCCCTGGCAGTGCAATATGTGCAGCAAAGTGTTTGGAAATATCTACGAGTTCACAGCGCATGCGCTTCACTACTGATGCCAGATGACTTCGTCCATTCCTCACCCCATCCCATTTCCCTACTCTACATCATCCATTCTCAGTAACTTTTGTCCGTTCCCCTGGCCTCCCATCCTCACACCATGCGATGGACGTATGTACTTATCAAAAAAAAACGTATCATATACATATACATAAATATACATATTCACATAGGAAAATGTGCACTCCAATTGCCTTTCGCACGAGACAAGCCAGATCCAAATGTCTGCTAAACATCACGAATGGACGATCATCTACCACGCTGAACCTGGCCAGGGTGGGATAACAGACGGGGCGAGACAAAATAAACCGAAAATGCTGTCTTAATTTATCTCCGTTTCTGATGGCTCGGCCTCTATTATATATATATATATATATATATATATATATATATAATGGTAGGGGGCGCTCACCGATCGTTCTTGTGGAACTCACTCGTTCCGTTGTGCCTTAACGGCTCTCTCTCTCTCTCGAACCTAACTAACAGCCGCACAGCGGCGCATGATATAGGCAGTATGTTATTACCGACAAAGACAAGGGAGACTGGAATGGCCATTTCTGGCTTGTTAGCCGTCGTCAGCCAGTCGTACCCAAACTCGAAATGTGTAACACCCGAGGCTTGAACTCGCGACCTGTCAGTTAGAAGCCCATGCTTCTAACCACTGGGCCACGAGCCCGTAAGGCACAACGGAACGAGTATGTTCCGTAAGAACGATCGGTGAGCGCCCCCTACCATTGCATATTCCCGATCGAAACCGGCAGGGCAACGGGCTCGTGGCCCAGTAGCGTGGAGGTAGCGTAGTTCTGACCTTCTGTCGTCCGGCTCGCTGCAGTGTGTTTCTGCCCTTCTGTAGAGTGTTCGCACACAACTGCGTTTGTGGCCTAACGGGTGCTTACTGTGGTAGCTCAGGATTTGGCATGTATCAGTAGCCTTCCTATATACCGTCGTTTTAAGGTGCCCATTGGGTTTTCGATGTACGAAAACGTCCAGGAACGGCATTTGATTGTTGGCTTACGCCTCCATTGTGAACTGGATGTCAGGAAAAACAGAGTTCAGGACATTATCGAATTCCTTGACCATTTGCCGCTTAATGATAACGAAGGTACCATCAACATATCGAGCCCAAAATTTCGGCTTATAGGCTGAGAGAACGAGGGTCTCTACTTCTTGGAGAACTGCCTCTGCGATGAAGCCCGAGAGCGGCGATCCCATTGGCGTCCCCTTGACCTGCTCGTAGGTCGTGCCTTCGAAGGTAAAGTACGTCTTCAGGCAGAATCTCAGCAACTGGACGAGATGTCTCCGTTTTACTGTCACGTCCGTCTCGTTGTACTGACTCTCGAGCAGCTCGCTGACCGTTTCGACTGCCAGGTCTTGCGGAATCGAGGTGAAAAGAGAAGTGACGCCGAATGACACCATGACCTCGTCTTCGGTAAGTCTCATCCCTTTGATCCGCTCCAGGAACTGAGTCGCTGAACAGACCGTCGTGCCCGCGTCCGAGGTGAGAAATCTCAGGTTTCGGAACATCCATTTAGCCAAATTGAATTTAGGTGCGCCGCGCAATGATACGATTGGCCGGAGGGGCACCCCGGCTTTGTGTACCTTTGGCAGTCCGTAAAAGCGTGGTGCGGCCGCGTCTACTGGCTTAATGGCCAGTCGTACCGATTTACTTATTTCCTTGCTCGTTTGCATGTCGGCGAGGGTCCTTTCTAGTTGCGTCACCAGCCTCCTCATCGGTTTATCGTTGCATGTTAGGTACGCCTGTCGGTCCTCCAGTAGGGCATTGACCTTCTGAATGTAGTCTGCCTTATCCATCACAACTGTGGAACGCCCTTTGTCTGCTGGTAGAATCACGCTGCTGGTGTCAGCCCTCAGTGTCTTGAGAGCGCTCTGTTCGACCTTGGTAATAGTTGCACGCGGTTTGTGCGCCATCGCCAAGGAGGCTACCTGCTGTCGAGTGAGATGCTTTGTTTCGTCGGATTCCCCGGTTTGTTTGAGAATCGACTCAACCGTGGCCACCAGATTGACTGGATCGGCGTCTGTGGTGTTGAAGCAAGCCTCATGACTCAGCACTTTCATTTGTGCAGGGGTCAGCTGCTTAGAGGACATATTGTGCACCAGGACTTCGTTCTCCTCTTGAGATGATTGGCTTATACTTTGGAGCTTGACCGCCAGCTCGGCATCTCTTGTTCCTCGCAGGTTCCGGGCCCGTTTATTAATCACTTGTTGCAACTGCGTGACTCCGTCCTCACCGATGAGTTCGACGCACTTTGTAACCGCCTGGCTCAAAATCCTGTTGTATTTAAGCAGTCGAAGATGACAATCTTGGAGAAGCGCCCGAATCATTCGTCTGCCATGTTTAGTCACCCACCACCAAAGCTGATCCACCACCCCCTCATCCGGCGAAAAGACGCTCTAGGACTCCCTCCCCACCCCTTCCCCCCTGCCGCCCTGAATTCATATGTAAGAAAACCCGTCTTGGTATGACTGTCATCCACCTATAAATACTGTGAGGCGCGATACCACACTCACCCCCGACGACGGAAGTTTGTTTGCTTTTAAAACGTCATGAGAGTAAAGCTATGGTTCCCGAGATCGCCTTTTCTTCTCATATATATATAATATGACAGATGGGCGCTCACCGATCAGGTTACAGAACATGCTCGTTCTGTTGTGCCTTGGGGCTCATACTTAAATCCTCGCAGGCAGTCGCACAGCGACTAGTGATATATGTTGATAAGGTGATACCGACAAAGACAAGGGAGACCGGAATGGCCATTTCTGGCTTATTAGCCGTCATCAGCCAGTCATACCCAACCCCAAGGCACAAAAGAACGAGCATGTTCTGTAACCTGATCGGTGAGCGCCCATCTGTTACAATTGATATTCCCGATCACAACCGACATGACAACGGGCCCGTGGCTCAATGGTAGAGCGTTCAACTCCATGACCAAAGATCCCGGGTTCGAATCTCAAGTGATCCACACTTGGGGTTGGGTATGACTGGCTGATGACGGTTAATAAGCCAGAAATGGTCATTCCGGTCTCCCTTGTCTTTGTCGGTATCACCTTATCAACATATATATATATATATATCTGCGGCGACAGAGAATGACAGGTGGCGAGGCACTGATGAACTTCGGTTCGATGAAGTGCTTATGACCCATCTGGTAGGCCTCAGTGGTGGACCGACTGCGCCAGGTGCGTCTGTGCGCATGTTTGTGTTTCTGGTCGCAGCTGCTGGTGGTCAGGTTTATGATTGGCTGAATGAAGGCAGAATAAGCCCGAAACAGTCCTGTATCAATCTACCCGCATTCTCTGTCGTCCCTCCTCGCTGCTATTATGACTTGGCCGACTTCGGCCTGGTAATTGGTTGCCTGTTCGTGACCTTTGTCACACATACGGAGCTTGTTTGCCTTGTGAAGCCAATAGATCGGTGTGCGCCCATTCCTGATTGATATATATGTATACACATCCCGTTCATCAACCCCCAAAGGAAGAAGATATATATACGTGACAGATGAGCGCTCAGCGATCAGGTTGCGATCGTTTCGTTGTGCATTGAAATTCATACTGGAACCCCCGCAGGCAGTCGCACAGCGACTGTTAGTAGAAGTAGATGAAATGATACCGGCAATGACAAGGGAGACCGGAGTGGCCATTTCTAGCTTATTCGCCGTTATCAGCCAGTCATATCCGATCCCAAATGAGGATCACTTAAGACTCGAACCAGGGATCTTTGGTCAGGGCGTTTGGCACTCTGCAATTGAGCCAAATGATCCACGCTTGGGGTTGGGTATGACTGGCTGATGACGGCTTATAAGCCAGAAATAGTTCCTCCGGTCTCCCATGTTTTTGTCGGCACCATCTCATTCACGTTTACTACTAGTCGCTACTCGACTGACTGCAAGGGTTCCAGAATGAGTCTCAATGCACAAGGGGACGAGCATGTCCCGTAATTTGATCAGTGAGCGCCACTTCATCATGTTTGATATTCTGAATCACAACCGACAGGAAAACCAGCCAGTGACTCATTTGTAGAGCAAGAAATTTGGTCGACCTTTAGAACGAACCAGAACCCCATCAGTTGGTTTCGAAGTCACCCATTTTTCGGGTACTCTGAGATCAATCACGTTCCCATTCAGCTGTCAACTAGTAACTTTCGCTTGAGATGGAGTAACCAATTGGCAGGACTGATAATCTCTGAGTAGCATGTTTACTTTCCCTATGCCGTCCATGTAATTCTAAACGAAAACTCCCGCTTACCTTCTATGCCTGAAGGATGGAACTTCAGTCATCATTCTGGGGCAGCTTAGGTGCACCCAATTCGGCCAAAGGCAGAACGCTTGCGAAAGGTTGTGAGGTTGTATGTGTGGCAGACAGGACTTCTAGCGCAATCAGACGACCTGGCGTCGAAAGGACCGAAGCACTGTTCTGACCAGGAAACTGCCATCGGTTCATTATAAAACTACTTCAATGAGACTCCATGTAGGAGCTTTTCTTCAAAATTCCGTGACGACGCGAGTTTGTTGAGATTCTCTTTCGACTTTAACCATGACCGCATTCGTCGGATTTAATCGGCTGACACCGCTGTCATCACAGACTAGCCATCGACGTCGCACTGAAGAACGAGGCATTACCTATATACTACTGCTTCGTACTTATGTAAACTCATATCACGCCATACCTCCCTCAGGGTTAGTTTACCATACAGGTATTCCCACTTTCATCTGGTTGGTCTCTGTTTGAGGCATATTTTAGCCGACGTCTTAGAGGCATTCATTTTTTCGGTCAATCCTGATGCATGGTTAGGTCTCACAAGATCTTAAGGTGACAACACTTGTCAAGATTTAACGAAGCCTATGCGTGTCGAACGCGATTCGACGCACACAAAAGCAGGAGTGCCCGTTCAGTTCTTCAGTCCAGTGTTACAGCACCTAGAAAAACGCAGGATTTAAAACTTAGGTGATGCTAGTGGAGCAACGTTTTTTTTTACAAA